CTACTTGATCCGGCACAAAGGTCTGAAGCATGAGGAGAACTTGGGTGGGTTGGGAGATGGGTCAAGGGCATGCAGGGAGAAGAAGCCTACACCAAGGGCCTGCAGGTACTCAGTCGGCCCCTTGGAGAGTTTAAAGGGAAAAAAAATCATGCAGTCAAGCCCCTGAGAGCCAACCCTGAGTGTTCACTGAGCACCACCAACTCCACAGTGAAGCCCGATGGCTTGGTCATCATCCAAGTAAAATCCAACCTTCCCACTCAGACACCTGCTCCAGGCTGCCCTGCCTCCAGGGTCTCTGCTGTCAGACTGAGAGTGCCTGAAATGACTCCATCCCACATTTTCCTGTACTCTTATCCTTTCTGGTTAGCCTCTTCTTCCTTCTCTGAGCTCCTCACTCCTCCACCTCACCCCAAGCAGCCAGGGCACAGTGGGCCACGCCTGCCATCCCTTTGGCTTGGGTGGCTGAGGCAGGGAGACTGCAATTTTGACACCAGCCTCTTAATGTAAGGACGTCCTAAGCAACTTGGTGAGACCCTGTCCCAAAATACAAACTAAAAAGGTTGGGGATGTAGCTCAGTGGTAAAGCACCTCTGAGTTCCATCTCCAGTATGCAAAAAAAAAAAAAAAAAAAGAAAAAAGAAAAAAAAAAGCTACTCATAAGTTGAGATAGCAGTTCCTCATCACCAGTCTGTACCTGCACATATATATGCTCGTGCACCCACACACACACACAGACACACACCCCTTTCTCTTTTTCTGTCTTGTCTATATGATAGAGGAGATTCTAATGAATCAGGGCAGGATTCGGGATTCATTGGGGTGTGGTCAGGGGAGGGATGCTGGGAGTAAATAAATGCAAAGGAGGTGAGGTAGGGGGCAGAAAGCTCCAGGTGAGAGAAGACATGACAGCAGCCTTGTGCAAGTGGGTGGGCGGGGGGGAAAGTGGAAGTGGGCAGGGTGGACTGCGGAGGCCCAGAAGCCGCTCCTGAGACGGGAGCCTCTTTCTCCACACAGGAACCTACCTGACGCACGAGGCCAAGGGCTCCGACGACGCCCCAGATGCGGACACGGCCATCATCAACGCAGAAGGCGGGCAGTCAGGAGGGGATGACAAGAAGGAGTATTTCATCTAGGGGCACCTGCTCACCTCCTGCGCCCCCCAGGGGCCCCGCGGGGACTGCTGGGGCCGTCACCAACCCGGACTTGTACAGAGCGACCCCAGGGCCGCCCCTCCCGCTTGCTCCCCAGCCCACCCGCCCCCCTGTACAGAATGTCTGCTTTGGGTGCGGTTTTGTACTCGGTTTGGAATGGGGAGGGAGGAGGGCGGGGGGGAGGGGAGGGTTACCCTCAGCCCTTTCCGTGGCTTCTCTGCGTTTGGGTTTATTATTATTTTTGTAACAATCCCAAATCAAATCCGTCTCCAGGCTGGAGAGGCAGGGCTCCTGGGGTGAGGAAAGAAAAAAAAAATCAAAACAAAAACAAAAAAAACAAAAAACAAAAGCAAAAACAAACCAAAAAAAAAAAAAAGCGCAAAACGAAAAGAACAAAATCCAAAAAAAATAATAAGGAAGAAAAGAAAAGAAAACCTGGACCGCTGGAGGAGAATGGAGGTGGAAGGGTAGGAAATGGGGAAGGAATAGGGCTGGTGTGGAGGGTGGGGCTCTCCCCAGCCCTCCTCCCTCCATTCCCCCAGCAGAGGCGTTTCCCAGACTTCGGAAACCCAGGAACGGGAAAGTTGTGAGCAGGGGCTGGCGGTGGCTTTCCCTCTGTGAGCCATGAACAGCCGTGTCACCTGGACAGGGAGACAGGTGCCGGTGACCCTGAAGCTCTCCCTTCTATCGCAGAGAGGAAGGGGTGAGCGGAGCGGAACAGGTCTCTGGGAGATGTAGGGACCCAGGGCTTTACCCCTGCGAGGAAGGGCAGATCTGCAGAGGAAGGATGGATGGTGGGAAGAGCCCTGTCCACCCCTCTCCTCTCAGGATGAATGAAGCCAGGCCTCGGGGACAGCAGAGCCCGGCTGCCCTTCCTAGTCCCAGCAGCGGTGGGCGAGGCGCTGCTCTGGGGCCTGAACTGCATCTGCTTCCCCCGGCCGAGGGGTCCCTCACTCTTACCTAGCACCCTGGACTGTTGCACGGCAACCGCTCCTCTCATGGCATTGCTCAGCAACTCCGCCTCCATCTTGTGCCACCCTGTGCCCCTTCCTGTCCCCTCTACCAGCCCTTGGTCCTTCCTCCCTCAGCAGCCAGGCAGACATAACAACAAAAATACTAAAAGGAGCTTCACTGCACTGAGCTGTTTCCTGCCCCAACTAAGGGAATAATGTGAACTCTGTGCGCATGTGTGTGTGTGTCACTGTGTGTRAATGTGTGTGGGTGTGTATGTGCTGTATGTGCCTGTGTGTCTGTGTGCATGAGAAACAGAGAGGGATGGAGGAGGAGGAGGGCCAAGGACCCGGGGTCCTGGGCAGGTGGACGGGGCGTGGAGCTTGGAGAGGAGGGCTTTGGGAGTGGAGGAGACCTGGTCAGGGTTTGTACCTCGCCTGGGATGTTGCTCCATCCGGGTCTTTTCCATGCTACCCCMCAATGCCCGTCTGTTTCAGAGAAAGCAGTCCCGGGATGTGTTTTTGCCCAGCTGTTCATCTCATCCCTTCCTGAAACACAGAGCATCCGGCCCCTCCCTCAGCATCCCACCTCCAAGCCCTGGAGTCAGAGTCCCAGCCTTTGCTATGCACTCCACAGGCCTCTCCTCGGCACTGACCCTGGATTCCCAGCTGTGGATATCCATAGGTCTGGGTCCCCACCCCTGCTTGGGGTTTTCGGTTTTTCCTCCTGTGGCCAAGCTGGCTGCTGTGGAGATGAGGCTGCTCACCCTCCTTGTGCTGCCAGGCCTGCCCCCCACCCCTCAGAACCCCCCCCCCCGGATGCTCTTGGCCATTCCCCTCCCCCTCTCCAGCATGTCCTCCCTGCTTTGACAACGGGGCGTGCAAAACGGGACATCTGCAATCCAGCAGGTCGACCCACTCCTTCAGTTCAGGTAATACCTTTGTGAATCTTCCAGCCCCTGGTTAGGGCCCTGGGCACAGCAGGCAGCACCCCCCCCCTCACTTAAGCCAGGGCCCCCTCCTCTTTCAGCAGCAAGGGAGTCTCGGGCCCCAGGTCTCTTGGGCTTCCTGTCTCCCGGCACCCGCTTTTGGGAAAAAAAAATGATTTTTCCTCTTGGAGCTGAACCACTCTGTCCATATAACACAGAAGCCATATTTGTACGGGGGGCGGGGGGAGCGGGGCTGTCGTGCTGTGTGTGTCTGTCCGTGGGGGGGAGGGGGGCAGGGAGCAGGGAGGGGACCGTGTATCTTTATAATCTTTCTAACTCTCCTGTGCTGATCTCAGAGGGATCACCCTCAATATATCTGGATTACCCGTGTCGTCCGGCTGCCTCCTTTCTGCGGCTCTCACCCTGCAGGGCTGCGAGTAGCCAAGGGCTGTTCCGGAATCCCTGGCACCTGGCACCTGCCATCTCCAGGGGCCGCCGTGTCCTTGCCATGTTCTCTCGAGAGCCTCTGTGTCTGGAAACAAGGGAGACAGTGTCTTCACCCCCTTTTCCTGGGTCCTCCCTTTCCAGAGAGGGTTCGGGGTGGGACACCCGACTGTCCCCCCAGTCCTCTGTCTGGCACTTGGAGGCACCCTCAACACTGTCCAGGAAGGAGAGTGACCCGATCGTGGCCAAACTTAACTTTCCAGCCCTCCTCCTGTTCCACTGAGACCCCGCATCCTGGGAGATCATGGAGGCATTTCTACAAGGTCTGAGGTGTTTTGCCCCCAGGTACCCCTCTGTGTGACGGAGATAAAGGTCCTTGACAGACCTTCCATGCTTTCTTGAAAAAATGGATCCCAGTGTCCCTGGTCCTGCTCCTGCCTCACTGCTCTGACGTGGACGTTCTAGGACCCCATGCCTCCCCAGATCCAGGCTACAACACCCACCCTGAAGAAATAAAATGCAGAAAGCGGGTGACGAAATAGCAGAGATCCTGGGAGAGCCGCCGAAGGAGGGCCCACCAAGGAGAGCCATGGGCTCAGGAGCATCCGCCTGCAGGGAAGATGCCCTGGGTTTCTGCCAGCCAGAGAACTAGCAGTTCCACTCACCCCTGTCCCCAGAAGAAACCTTACTTATTGTGAGATGTCAGGCCAATGAAGCAACTCCAGAACCCTTATGTCCCCAACAGAAACATGAGTAGAGATTATCCCATGGGGTAAAAATATGGTGTCTCGTTGTCCCCAAGAGCCTTCCTTGAACATGGCAGACCAAGCGCTCTGCTTGGTGTGGAAGAGACATTCACAGAGCCCATAGGTGGTGAAGCACATGCTCCATCAGTCCCCAGAGGAGGGTGGCGATTCAGCCTTGACAGCTCCTTCATTCCTGCTTCCCTCTCACACCGGCACACCACACCTCGACAGCCATTCCCACTCCCCAGACGCCGCCAACACCTATCACACACTCAGATGTGGGGCACATGGCTACATCACACAGACACACACACACACACACACACACAGGTAAATCATTCTATCCCCCCGTAATACACACAAACAGCCCCCACCAAAATGCATACCCCGACCCGAGGCTGGACAGATCCAACCCCAAGCACCATGCACACACCTTCCCACACATCCGTGGCTTTGGAACTCTCTCCTTGGATCCCGTCCARGGGGCTGGGCAGCACTGAGGTCATCTGCTGCCGTGGCTCTCCCGCTTCCCAGCTCTTCTCTTATCTCTGCCTCTCACGCCGCCCCTGGCCGTCTCCTTTCTTCCTTCCTTGTGACTCTTCCTTCCAAGAGTCTCCACTTGCTGGAAAGCCCCCAGGTTTCCCCCTTTCCATCTTCGGGAAAACGCCCCCTTTCTGGTCCTGGCCGTGATGCTTTCCTGAGACCGTCTTGACCCGCCAGACCCAACCTCAAAACAGGAAGCCCGGGGCCAGGGCCCCCATGTGGACCTCGGGCTCCGGCAGGCAGTGGGCGTGGGGGGTAAGGCTTCCTGAGCGCTGCCCCCGGGCCCTGCCCAGAGCCCGAGGGCCTTCATTAGGCCTCAGCACTTATCTTGGAACCACAGCTGCAGACAGAGAGTCCCAGCCCTGCTCTCGGCCTGCCCTGAGCGCACAGCGCCATGGGGAACTGCCTGCCCCGGGTGAGTGGGGGAGCCCCTCCACACTGCCTGCCCCTTGGCCCCACGGCCCTGGGTGAGCCCCCAGCTCCTTCCTTTTCTCGTGGTCTCTTAGCCCCCTCCTGGCTCTGTCTCCTCTTAGCAATCTGCTTCCTTCTCTCCTCCTTACCCCAGTCTCCCCTGACGGTCTTTTTCCTTTCCCTTCACTTCTCAGCCAGTTCCATCCAGGTCCTGGATGACCCTGCTGCCCTCTGCCTTCTGTTCCTCCGGTCCTACCCCTTCCCTGGCTTTTCCACACCCTGTCCCTGCTCCGGGCTGCTCAGCCTCCCTCCCTCCCTGGGCTCTCCTTCTCCACCTCCCTTCCCAAGTCCCCGAGGTGCCAGAGGGTGGGGTTCCCGGACGCTCTGACGGCCCCCTCTGCTGCGTGTTACCCTCCAGGTGGAATCGTCCCTCGCCGAGAACAGAAGTCAGTTGTTTTTTGAAGACTTTGCTTGGAATTATTCCTACGGTGAGGAATCCTACGGGGACGTCTACATCCCGGACGCTGTCGCCCCCTGCCACTCCTGTAACCTGCTCGATGACTCCTCGCTGCCCTTCTTCATCCTGGCCAGCGTCCTGGGCATTGTGGCTAGTGGCGCGGTCCTCTTGGCACTTTGCAGATCTCCCTTCCACTGGCGGCTCTGCCCCAGTTGGCCAGTCCTGGCCCAGCTGGCTGTGGGAAGCGCCCTCTTCAGCATGGCCGTGCCCATTCTGGCCCCAGGGCTCAACAGCGCCCACAACCTTACCCTGTGTCGCCTGGGCTACTGGGTCTGGTACTGCTCGGCCTTTGCCCAGGCTCTACTGATAGTGTACCACGCCTGCCTGGACCCTAACCTGGGGACAGGCCACACCTGGGGTCTCACTCTCGGCCTCTCCGTGGGGCTCTGGGGAGCAGCTGCTGTATTAGGGCTGCCAATCACCCTGGCCACGGACACGTCGTACGGCCTGTGCACCCTGGCRTCCAGCAGAGGCCTGGGGACTCTGCAGTCCATACACGCTGCCATCTGCTTTGGCATCTTTGTCTTGCTGCCCCTGGGTTTGTTGGGAGCCAAGGGGCTGCGGAAGGCGTTGTACAGGGGGCCACGTCCCTGGATCAGCGTCCTGTGGGTCTGGTTCGTTTTCTGGTGGCCTCACGGGGTAGTTCTGGGATTCGACTCCCTGGTGAGGTCCAAGGTCCTGCTGCTGCCCACGTGTCTGGCTCAGCAGGTCCTGGACCTGGCCCTGCACCTGGCAGAAGCCCTGGCCATACTGCACTGTGCCGTGTCTCCCCTGCTGGTGGCCCTGTTCTGCCACCAGGCCACCCACGCCTCCTTGCCCTCCCTGCCCCTTCCTGCAAGACGGTCTTCTCATCTGGACACTTTTGAAGGCAAATCCTCCCTCCCTTCCCACCTGTCAGCCTGAATTAAAGTTTACCACGGCTTTTGGGAAGTGAGTAGTTTCTGATTTTTGTCTGGGGATGAAGAGGAGAGGACGGAGAAGGGAGAGAGAGGAGGACATTTCCTGCCAGATTTTCCTGGCAGCATCTGTTTTGCGAGCCGGCCTGGGGAGAAAGGGAATGAGGTCTGAACATCCTCAGGACACACACATGTSTTCTTGAGGTGTGAGGCTCCTGCCTTCTCAAGGGGGAAGAGAGGAGAAATAGGAGCATGATGGGAGCAGATGAGCCCTGGAAACGAGAAGACATGCTTAATAGGTAAACAAAGAAAAGAAGCTCGTGCAGAGAGCAAAGGGGATAGGAAGAAAAAGTGGAAAAGCCAGGAGCAGTGGTCCATGCCTGCAATCCCATCTACTAGGGAGGCTGAGGCAGGAGGATCACAGTTTGAGGCCAGCCTCTGCAACTTAGTGAGATCCTGTTTCAACAAACAAATGAACAAAAAACTAAAAAGGACTGGGGATGTAGCTCAGTGGTAAAAGGGCCCCTGGTTTAAAAAAAAAAAAATGATAGAAACGGAGAGAGAGAGAGAAGAACAACAATAAAGCCAGAGGTATATTTCCTCTTTCCTGTTCACCATGTGTAGACTCCCCCTCTGTCTTTTATCTCCTCTCTGGCTTTGTTTAGAGATCAGGGCAGGAGGGGAAGGAGGGAGAAGTATCCTCAGAGACATTCCTCAGTCCAGGGTGAAGTTTATTCTTGATTCCTGTGTGTGTGTGTGTGTGTGTGTGTGTGTGTGTGTGTGTGGTGTACACGTCCGTGTCTCAGTCTGTTAGAACCTAAATGCATTTTCGATGGTGCCTGTGTGTAATAACACATTTCTTTACATGTGCTTGCGGGTGGGCGGGGATCTGAACCCTACGTCCCCGTATAAGTGCACAGACTTCTCCAGGGTCCCTCTCCCCCCTTACTTCTGTGACCGTCCCCATTCTCAGGGAACGGAAGCAGACTGGGAGTATTTACTCCTTAAACAAATGAATTACCCAGTTTTTKTTGTTGTTGTTGTTTGTTTGTTTTTTTTCTGGTGTAGAGGGAGGAAAAATCCAGAAGTCATGAAGAACGGAGAAACTTAAAAGGGGAGGCCCTAATCTGATTCATCTATTTGGAATCCCCTAGAATTTCCCTTTCAATCCCCAGTTACTGAATTAACGTTTCTTTCCCACACAAACCTTTCCTCCTGCTTCCCACACAATACCCCAAAGTACGAAGCCCTCTCTCTCCCAGATATGCCCCCGATCCTCTGGCTGTTTAAATATGACCTCGGAAGCTTCTGCTTACAYGGTATCCAGCCAAGTTGAGGTGACGATTGGAAGGGGAGCAAGTCCCTCTTCATATGGGGGCACAACCTCCATTGCCAACAAATTCACCTCTTCCCAGAAAAGCCACAAAGACCTGCCCCCCACAACCCAGCTGAAGGCTGGCAACACCTGAGCAGGGCTCTCCAGTCTGTCTGAGCCTAGTTACCATCTTTCCATTTGTTCCCCAGAACAGGCCCTGCCCAGTTGTTCCCTGAAACGTTTTCTGCTTGACTCTGGGTCTGGGGATAAGTAGGAGGTAAGGGAGGGGCCGCAGAGAGTACGGAGAACATGTCGGGCAGGAGGGTCCAGAAGGCCCAGGGAATTGTCCTGGGTGGGTGCTGTGACAAGGCCTCTCCATCTCCCACCTCTGGTCTCTTAGCAACCGCCAGGTTTAGCTCCCGATTGGTGCAGCCCAAATTGAGAGGCGGGATCTGGGGACCGCTGGAGACGCGAGGGGGAACATTCTGAAACAGAAAGACGAGAGAGAGAGAGAGAGAGAGAGAGAGAGAGAGAGAGAGAGAGAGAGAGAGAGAGATGAAGAAAAAGGAAATAGTTTACAAACCGAGATTTTGCTCAGGGATATTCACCAAAGTCGGTGAATCTGTCCTGGTTATTTTTTTGATTTTTCTCCTATTCCCTTTCCAGCCTCCTTGCAAAACCGCCCCCTCTGTCACCCCTGACCACTCACTCTCTCAGTCCTGCCAGATGTTGCCCTCCTCCCTGACCAGGGACCGGATTGGAAAGGCTGACCTAGTTGAGGGGAAGGAGAGGCTGTTTGGGATTTCCAGAAGTTTCCAGCCTTAACCTGATGCGAGGAAGGCTTGGTTTCAGACCACCCCCCACCCCCAGCCCCACCAGCGCCCACAGACACCAGTCCCTCCTCACTTGCCCAGGTAGAGAGAGCTCAGACTCTTAGGGAGCAGCTTATCAGCTATTGCATCCCTCACCAAAGAAAGGCAGGAGCAGAAGCCGGCCACTGATAAGAGGTCAGAGTGGGTTGGAGACTGGCGTCCCCACCGTTATCTGCCCCTCATTTCCACCCCTGGCTGGCCTTGCCCTGGTCCCTTCAGAGGCTGCCCTTTCCCTGCCATTATCTATCTATCCTTCTGGATGGTTMTTTCTTACATCCAACTCTGACCTCAGCCATTTCTTTCAAGCTTTCCSCGGGGACCGGCTGCCCCTGTCCATTTAACTCACTGCATGCCACCGACCACTCTGAAATTGGTCTGAACCTGGCCTCTCTTCTGCGACTCTTCAGGAATACAAAYCCTGTTTCCTTAGAACCCTGAAGAATTTAATCTGAGGGTTGGCAGGGACTTTAGCGGTGTATGAGTTATGGGGCCTCCTGGCTAAGCAAAAAAAAAAAAAAACTCTCAGAAAGATGAGAGCCATCGGTGGAGGCTAGCTCTGGGGAGCACACAACGCCCTGGGGAGGGTCAATTTGCATTAAGGAAAGGGACTTGTTTCTGGAGGGAAGTTTAAAAATCATGTCGAGGCTCATAATTCATGTATTTCAGGCTGGGGCCGCTCCCAGAGGATCCAGGAAACCAATGCCTGGTCCTCACACCTTTTTATCCACCTTTATTTCCCTGTCCTCCATCCCCACCACCGCTGTCTTCCTGCAGCCACTCCCAGAGGAATTCTGATTGAGAACTTCACTGGGATTTCAGACCCGATTCATCGCCAACTCTAATTGCCAGGGATTTGCATGAAAACCGTCGTCTGCTATCTAATTATTCTGACAACCGCAGCCCGCCGTCTGGGCACAAGGAGAATCGAGGTTTTAATTAACAATAATGCACCTTGCCGATGAATGTGACTGTTTAGGTTAATTAACAAGTCCAAGTCCTTCCAAATCATCTCCAGACATCTAGGAGATTTGGGCAGGAGGGGTGTGGGGCACACAGTGGGGTAAGGAGTATTGAGAAATCAGTTCAGCAAAAATGTCTGTTWGCTGTCATCTCTCCCTGAACAATCRGAGACAGGGAARGAGRGACTCTCCAAGCGGTGGCCTCTGGATAAYTGGTTTAGAAGAATTTGGTGCCAACACTTTAGGGGGATACATCAGGTATCCTTGTATTTATGGCACTTAGTTTTAGGACATCKTTTAGACGCACTTTTATTATAATTCTCAAATACCTATAATTCACTGTCTGGTCATTTGCAAACTTGGTTTCTAGCATTAACATCAGCACGTCCTTATCCTGCCATTTCTCCCCTCCCATCTCCGGGGGCACTTAAAGTTGCCTGCCCCTCAAGATTTCTAGGATGATGTCTCAGGTCCCACCGACCCCAAGGATCATTGTATTTCTTTCCTCCGTAGTTCTCAGTGTCCTGAAAGAACTTATCCTGTGTAGCTCCAAACTGTATCTTCTGACTTTTTTAGTTTTTCTAATAGCCTGGGCCTTGTCTTCTGTCTTTAAATCAAGTGTGACTACTATTTAGAAGGAAGAAGGGAGAAGGATCGTATACCTCTTGGAAAATCTGGTGATAGTTGTCTGGTGTGGCAGTGCATGTTGGTGATGCAGTGACTCTGGAGGCTGAGGCAGGAGGATTGTAAGTTCAAGGCCAGTCTCAGCAATTTAGGGAGATCCTGTGTCAAAATAGAAAATAAAAATAAAAATGGGTTGGGGATGTAGCCCAGTGGTAGAGCATCCCCAGTTCAGCCTCCAATAATTAACACACACAGGGAGAGAGAGAGATAGAGATAGAGATAGAGAGAGAGAGAGAGAGAGAGAGAGAGAGAGAGAGAGAGAGAGAGAGAAGGAAAAGAAATGAAAAAGAAAAACTGGCAAATGTTTCTCTTTAAGAAAATATACCCCAAATTCGGCATTTAGTTCCTCCCTACTATACTTAAAGGTAATCTCAAGTGCTTTGCTCTGTCTCTCATAGGACTTCCACAATCAGCTCATGGCTCTTGCTTACTAAGCTTTATGCCTGGTGGAGACTTTTTGGTCTCACAAATGGACAAATTTGTTCTCTGTTCTAAGAGTCTTTGCACATGACATCTCTTCAATCCAGAACTCTCCTTCCTGTGCCTTCTGTGTGAGTTGCATGGTGTCTCAGTGCAAATCTCAAGTCCTCAAAGACGGAATGTGGCCCCGGTCACCTTGTGCACCCACTTATTCCCTACCGACGCGCTCAGGCGGTGTCCTTTGCAGCAGGCACTCCTGTTAGAATCTGTCTTGTTCGTTCCTTTATCGGCTTCCTGATTCACTGCTTGCCTTCACCACTAGAGCATAAGCTGCATGAGAACAAGACCCTTTTCTCTTTTGTGGCTGGTGCATAGTCAGAGTTCAGTAAACGTGGGATAAATATATGAATGAACTGACTCCCTATGAATAGAGCATGGCACCACCTGCTAGAAGGGCCCCAGTCCAGTGGGGAACAGGAACAAGCAAGCAAATAACTGGTGCAGAAAAATGTGGGAAAGTGACTTTCTTCCCCCAAGTCCTCTAGGGCACCTCTCTCATGTCATTCAGTCGTTTAGGGCAGAAAAGCCTGAAGRACTGTCAGGACAAGGTTTCTGGTCCATGAACCTGCTTTCTGTGTCAATTTATGGCTGGCAGAGCCGGGGTGGGGGGTGGGCAGATGGGACTTCCCCACAGTTCCTGAGCATGTGTTGGAGGAAGAGTCCTTTCTCTCCTTTGAGGCCCTGCGGGGCCTGGGACAGCAGGGGAAAACTGGGAAGGGCTRTCATGTTTCATCTGCACTTGAGGAAAAATGAGTCACAGG